CTCGAACATTCTGCCTATTTCTTGTTGTTCGCTTCACGTTGCCGCAGTATTCGCCACACTGCCCTCCACCTAAGTCTGATCGTCCCGACCAGACACACTTGCTGTTCCAAGCGCTGCAAGCCTTTCCAAGTGGACCACCTTCATCTTGTTTCTTGGTCTCCCAACGGTCTGGTTCCGATACACTACGTCATTTAGCCGTTTTACGACCTGATACGGACCTTCCCAGTTGCATTGTAGTTTTGGGGACAAACCGTTCTTCCGTTGTGGATTGTACAGCAACACTAAATTTCCTTCCTGGAAACCCCCGAAATTCATCGCCTTATCATACCTGGCTTTCATCTTGTCACTCGTGAATTGCGTGCGCTGTCTCACAAGAGCATGTATCTCTCTCAGTTCCTCTCCCAGGATGTTTGACGTCTATTTTCCAATTCTTCTAGCATCACCAGTATGAATGCGATGTTTCACAACTTTTGTCCTGCCGTTTTTTGCTATCCTTGTCGAATATGTTGGAGTATCTGCGGAGAAGTTCCTTAGCCCTGTGCTGGTATTTTTCTTCCAACCCTTCCGTCCAAGCATTAATGTCTTTCGCAATGTCATTCTCGCCAATGGAATCACTTTCAGGTAATTTTTCGCAGTTGAAGATTGCCTCTACCTCTCGACATTGCCCCAGTACAGTTCCTCTTCGGAGTTTGATTGGTGATTTGAACTCATTGAGTACTTGAACTGTGATGCGTCCATCTTCTTGCGTCTTAGCCAGGGTTTTACCAATAAGTACGTCCGGTGTAGAATTTTGTGTTGCTTCAACAACCCACAATTTGTTTGTCCCACAATCACCATCAATCTTCGCCCAAACAACTGCTTCTGACTTCGGTGGAATCTGCTCGCTTTCCTCTAGGATCACTCACTTGCTGCTGTACGGGCCATCATACCCAAACCTAAGGGGCACTTCCATGTTGTTATGCGTCATAATCCTGTTCTTCATGTTGATCTGCATACCCTGATCAAGTAAGAAGTCTATTTCAATGATGACTTCATCAACAATATCTGCGACTATCAACTTTTGTAACACCGTCACATTCCCTATTGCGACTTTGCAGGTTACCTCTCCTACAACTTGGGTGTCCTCACCAGTTGCTCAACCTTGCTCCAGGTAATGGCCTTTCCTCTTTAGTGACCAAATCAGATCGAATGATGGAATGTGATGCGCCCGTATCCACAGTTAGTACTCGCTCATGTCCGTCCACATATTCACCAACCGTAACGTTGCTCGCTTTTCTGCCAATTTGCGAGACGGAGATTATGAGACATTCAATTGCGGGAGCCAGCGTGCGCCCCTTGCTGCTGGCTCGTTTTAGTTTAACGACTGATTGGAGTTGGATTCGTCTCCTTCAGCCCTGCGTTTGTGTCCTGCGGAATTGTTGAGCACACTGGACTTGCGTTGCAATCTCGGGCGAAGTGGCCTGGCTTTCCACATTTAAAACATTTGCCAGAGCCATGCTTTTTCTCGCCCAGCAGTTGGATTAGCTTGTTCAGCATTTCCTTTGTCTCGTCCGGTGTCTCCACTTCCACTCGATGGGCTTTGTAGGCTGGTCTACTTAGGAGTGCTGCCGTTTCACGTGTCTAAGCATTTGGCTTTGGATTAGCGTACGTCTCTCGCTTGGTATATACGTCCCGCATTCCGCTGATGAACCTCTGAATTTTTACCCTTTCGAGGTGCTCACCAGATGCGTCTCCAATAGCCAAGTTCGCTTCACGTTGCCGCAGTATTCGCCACAATATTATGTGTATACATGTTTATAAGCTGTCAAAATTTTACCTAGCCCCCTGAGCTATGTAAACTTCTGACGTTTGTATTCACCACGATAAATGTCAAATTTTTACTTTGATCCGTCAAAATTTCCTCTTTTGTCTCAATTAGCACAGGGCCTTTATAAACATAATATTGCTTGGCGGTAATAAAGAGTGAACGTGAAAATGAATGCTGAAAAGTAACAAAAAGCGAACGTTACTTACAAGTTATAAATCAAATAGAAATTTTAACAATTTCAAGATCACGCAAAAATAGAGTTTTCGCACGAGTATTTGTTTAGTTATTCAACTGTCAAAATTTTACTTTGCATTTGGCACAGCGAAATTCAATTTATTTGTACACCATATCAAATATTTCCACCCCGTCTCACCACGGAGAAGAAAGTTACTGATTAGCAAAGGCCCTCAGTGATAAAGTGTGAGTGTATTGGAAATTGAAAGAGGAAAATTGAATGTGTAACGTCCCGGTTATGGCCGCGTCTTTGGGGTTTACACAAGTCAATTTTACAGATACAATATAAAAACATTCACACTTTATTTACTAATATATTCACACTTTATATTCACACACTTGGCATTTCGAAGACAGTTTATTCTCTGGACGCCTACTTTACACATACAATGTGACAATTAGGGCCGATTGATCAATGTCTGGTTATCACTACTTGCCGGTTAAACATCATTATCAACGTTTTCGACATCATGCATATAACATGTGATCGATTTGTGCTAATCAGACATTGAACAACTAGCCTAGTTGACACTAATCATCGGTTAACATCGTTAACGACGTTTTCGGCTCCATGCATATGATACGGTACCAGTAACGTCGATGACGATGTTTAACCTGGGAATTAGTATCAACCAGGCTTTGAGCAATCGGCCCTTAATATATATTCTCAATTGTCTTGTCTTTTGTAAACGCAAGGTTATACAGCTGTCAGCAGGGACGGACTTAAGCTGTAGGTACATAATTTTATTTTCTGCGGCGTTACGTTGTACCGTTGGCGCGTTGGCGCGTTGACCACTGTGGCGTTGACGACGTTGTAAAATTTGCTGTTACACACCTTGCGTTGTGCCGCTCATTATTTTGTAAACAAAAAACAGCTGATAAGCATGGCGTCGCCTGTAATAGCTGTCATACAAATGCACGTGTTCAATTTTATTTGACATTGACGGCGTGACGCAATCGCCGGCGAACGCATGTTGTGTACCTTCGCTTTTACGCTGACGACACACAATCAGTTTTGCCTTTCAATTTCCACACATACATTTAGGGCCGGTTGTTCAATGTCTGATTAACACAAATCGGAGGTAGAAGCTCCGGTTAAGTACACCGACTGCTTTATCGATAACTGTTATATGCATGATGTCAAAATCGTCGATAGTGTAGTGGTAGTGATAACCAGACATTGAACAACCGGCCCTAAGTCTGTTCCTTTGAACTTCGTACTAAAACCTGTGGAACTGTCAAACTACAATTTTACTCTCTCAAGTGAGAGTAAAAGGAGAACAGATGCAGAAGTGCACGGGAACGCAAAAAGCACTATTTCCTGTAAAAACGTCAGTCGGTTTGTTTACGTGTCATTGGTGCAACACTGATTTGGCTGAAATATCACTAAATAATCATTAAAACCTATAAATATTCAAATATTTCGTTGTTTACTTCCATTTTTTTTACAAATATAAGGTTCTTTGCTTTCACCGCTTTCTGTTTTTGTTTGCACATGCAAATCAGCTGATCGTTTGACACTTTTCATGAACTTACAGGAAAAACAACTCCGGACTAAATCCTGTAAATTCTGACTAGGAACAGTTGCTCAGTTACTCTCTCAAAAGTGTTCCCACTTACAGCTTTTGTGTCAATAGGAACGACTTCCTGTAAGTTCTGACTAAATCCTGTAAACCGGACTGCTATTGGAACAGACTAATTGCTTGTCAAAAATCATACAAATTGAAAGCCATTGCGTAGGCTGCATTCAATTTGAGAAGAAACTTCATTATCAACATGCCGTCTTCAAGAAAACAATGTACTTCTGAAGACCATTTTCCGTTTTAATTCCACTGTAGATTAACATTTTAGCATGCATAATTTATTTATTTAGTCTACAGAAAAATGTTTTCTTACAGACAATTAACCTTGGAGAAATTCATAATTCTCAAGTTGATATCCAACATCATTCCCCAACTCATCTCTAACCGACGCGCAGATACGTAAAAAGTGATAGAGAAATGAATATTTAATTATCAAGTAAAAAACTAAAGCTATATAAAGAGGAAAACTACCAACAAAAAGTAAATAATCTTCAAAATATGCTCAAATAATCTTGAAAGAAAATAAAACGCCAAGTGAATCAAGTGGCAAAATTACTGTCGGACTGTGTACTGTGAAGTGAATTATTGTAATACGATTTTCCTTAACTACTTAATACAAAAGGATTAATAAAATGAAAAATTAATATTTAAATTCATCTATGTATGTCGTTTCAATCAAAAAGGTATAAGGTATTTTACTATTTCAATTTCAGTATTTCAATGATATGTTTGAGACCAATTGGAGAATTACATAGGACTTCCAGTTGAGAACTAGCATGTTCTCAACTTGAGAAACAGTCCTTTTTTCATACAAAGAAAAATGCCCATTTTGTTGAGAACGCTATGATCCTCCACTTGAGGTACTGTTGAGAAACAACGTTGGAGATTTGAGAAATACCTTAGTTCTCAACTTAACCTCAAGTTGAGCTCAAACCTAAATGTTTATTGGGGTACGGGAATGATTTCTGGGCTATTTTGGGCACCCGCGGGATCCCGCGTTGCGTATGGGAAAGAACCTAGTCCCCTTTCAGACACGTCAAGTCTTGCTTTCAAGTCTGCTCGTTCGTGGGTGAAGGAGGTGGGAAGAGAGGTCAAGAGTACAGATACCTCCGTACCGTCAATTCGTTTCAAGTTTTCTTGTTCTCTTTTGATCTTTTCGTTGCTTCCCGTTTAAAGAACCAAGTAGTTGAATTCAATAAAACTTGATGCGTGTGGAAGCAAAGAGAAAACACAAAAGAGAATGCGATAAAAATTGCTTTCAAGGATTGACGTGTCTGAAAGGGGACCTATTCTATCGGGCTTGGTGCGTACAGAACCTTCTGAACACTTCCTGCTTGAACGCGTTCTGCTTGACGGCTTGACATGTTGTTGTAGCTCAATTTTGAAAGATGGACACGATCCGAACGACAGCTCGTTCTTTTATTTCCGCCATTGCTTGAGAAAGTTTGGGAATTATGGGTGAGTTGCAGAAATAGCTAAATTCCTTCGATTTAAAGCCTTTTCAAAAAATATTTGTCTACTGTTAAAGGGATATGTTATACTACGATAAAAAATATGTGACAGTAAGTAGAAATTCTGCGCACAAATTAAAAAACAGTTTGGTGTGATTTGTCTCCAGACTGCTGTTGAGTAGTAGTGGTCGCCGAAGATTTTTAGCCTATTTAATCGCGGAATATCACATAAATCACTTTCTTTCGTAGAAAACTTTTGATCAAATCTGAATTTAAACAAATTGCGTCGCCAGCAAAACTGCATCTTTAAATAATTTTGTGTGATGCTAGACTTGTACTAACACATACATAAATTAACACAAATCTAACCTCACTCTTTGAGTCGATATACCAAAACTATAGTTTGAGCGTGTTTTAATAAGTTATGAATTTGCAACTTATTTTGCACTTTATTTTTTTCATTACAGGCAAGCCAAGAGGTCTCCGCACAGCCAGGAAGCATGTGAACCACCGTCGTGATCAACGTTGGGCTGATAAAGATTACAAAAAGGCCCATTTGGGTACCAGATGGAAGGCTAATCCTTTTGGAGGAGCATCCCATGCTAAAGGCATTGTACTTGAAAAAGTGTAGGTATAATTCGATAGCTTAGTTTCCAAAAGTGAATTTAAGTGCTAAAGGTGAAGTCCAATCGTATGCAGTGTTTCGTATTTTTACTTCTAGTGACTGTGCGACCCACAGTATATTTTTGTGCTTTGTGTTTCATATTCACCATATCACAGGATTATACTGTGAGCTGCGCGTCACTTTTCAACCCAAATCAAAAATCGGACTTATAATTTAAGTATATTTATGTATGTATGTACATTGTTTTAATTATTCCTTTTTTCAGCGGTGTCGAAGCAAAGCAGCCTAACTCTGCCATTCGTAAGTGCGTGAGAGTGCAGCTCATTAAAAATGGCAAGAAAATTACGGCTTTCGTACCTCGTGACGGTAGCTTGAATTACATTGAAGAGAACGATGAAGTCTTGGTTGCCGGTTTCGGTCGTAAAGGTCACGCTGTCGGTGATATTCCCGGTGTACGTTTCAAGGTAGTTAAAGTTGCGAACGTTTCGCTACTTGCACTGTACAAGGAGAAGAAAGAGCGTCCTAGGTCGTAAATCTTCAACTTGAAAGGATAAACATCTGCTTATAGTTTTTATGGAAACCAAAATAAAAATTGGATATTCTATTCTATTCTATGTTGGTTTAACTTGAATTTCTATTTGTATTACTCTGATGATAGTTGTGTTTGTTTACTCATTTCCGGTAAAATCCAGTAAGAGTTTATACAAATTTTCATGATTTGGCGTTTTCGTACGCAAAAACTTGCAAAGTAGGGGAAATTGAGAGCGAAAAATTACGATTGAAGGTGTAAGTTTTTACTGGATAAATTTTTACTTGTAAGAATTTGCCAGTACGAAAAACAGCTGATCGCATGCTGCTGGATGAAATTTAAACTAACAAAGAAACTGTCGGCTTTTATTGTTGAATTTCACAAAATAAACTTATTTAAATATAAAATATATTGTTTTATTAGGAATTTGCTGCGAGTAAACAACCAATTTAACAGCTGTTCATGAAACTTGCAAGTTATTACTGGATTTGCGTTCGCGTACTTTTTTGGAAATTTTCTATGAGCGAATTCTCAGAAATAAAGTTGCTGGCAAGTTACTGGATTATTTGTAAACAAACAACTGAGGATGATGGTGCTGTCGTTGTTGTTGTAGTGGCTACAGCGACCCCGCCCAGATCGGTTAGTCTATCAATCCCCCCTATTATGAATTCATACGATGCACGATAAACGCTTGTATTCTGTTGTTCTCTATTACGAATCGATGTTGTCGTATGAAATCCGATAGTTAGCGTAGCTGATTTGTGCTAGTTTGCAAGTAAAAGTGAACAAAAACCACAGCCATTATCAACAATACACCTGTGGGGCATATGAAAACGTTAATACGAGAACTGATATCATACGATACGTTTGCAAGCGTTTATCGTCTATCGTATGAAAATTCATAATAGGGGGGAATAGTTGCCGAATGTATAATGAAATCCCGAAAGACATTATCCAGACACGACCAAATCTTGACCAGACAATCCAGATACGACCAAATCCCGACCATANATTCTATTCTATGTTGGTTTAACTTGAATTTCTATTTGTATTACTCTGATGATAGTTGTGTTTGTTTACTCATTTCCGGTAAAATCCAGTAAGAGTTTATACAAATTTTCATGATTTGGCGTTTTCGTACGCAAAAACTTGCAAAGTAGGGGAAATTGAGAGCGAAAAATTACGATTGAAGGTGTAAGTTTTTACTGGATAAATTTTTACTTGTAAGAATTTGCCAGTACGAAAAACAGCTGATCGCATGCTGCTGGATGAAATTTAAACTAACAAAGAAACTGTCGGCTTTTATTGNAAATTTTTACTTCTAAGAATTTGCCAGTACGAAAAACAGCTGATCGCATGCTGGATGAAATTTAAACTAACAAAGAAACTGTCGGCTTTTATTATTGAATTTCACAAAATAAACTTATTTAAATATAAAATATATTGTTTTATTAGGAATTTGCTGCGAGTAAACAACCAATTTAACAGCTGTTCATGAAACTTGCAAGTTATTACTGGATTTGCGTTCGCGTACTTTTTTGGAAATTTTCTATGAGCGAATTCTCAGAAATAAAGTTGCTGGCAAGTTACTGGATTATTTGTAAACAAACAACTGAGGATGATGGTGCTGTCGTTGTTGTTGTAGTGGCTACAGCGACCCCGCCCAGATCGGTTAGTCTATCAATCCCCCCTATTATGAATTCATACGATGCACGATAAACGCTTGTATTCTGTTGTTCTCTATTACGAATCGATGTTGTCGTATGAAATCCGATAGTTAGCGTAGCTGATTTGTGCTAGTTTGCAAGTAAAAGTGAACAAAAACCACAGCCATTATCAACAATACACCTGTGGGGCATATGAAAACGTTAATACGAGAACTGATATCATACGATACGTTTGCAAGCGTTTATCGTCTATCGTATGAAAATTCATAATAGGGGGGAATAGTTGCCGAATGTATAATGAAATCCCGAAAGACATTATCCAGACACGACCAAATCTTGACCAGACAATCCAGATACGACCAAATCCCGACCATACGTAATCCAGACAAGAAAGTCTGACAAAATATAAAAAATATCGCGCGATTTTTTAATTATTTTTATATTTTGTCGGGATTTCTTGTCACNCTATGAGCGAATTCTCAGAAATAAAGTTGCTGGCAAGTTACTGGATTATTTGTAAACAAACAACTGAGGATGATGGTGCTGTCGTTGTTGTTGTAGTGGCTACAGCGACCCCGCCCAGATCGGTTAGTCTATCAATCCCCCCTATTATGAATTCATACGATGCACGATAAACGCTTGTATTCTGTTGTTCTCTATTACGAATCGATGTTGTCGTATGAAATCCGATAGTTAGCGTAGCTGATTTGTGCTAGTTTGCAAGTAAAAGTGAACAAAAACCACAGCCATTATCAACAATACACCTGTGGGGCATATGAAAACGTTAATACGAGAACTGATATCATACGATACGTTTGCAAGCGTTTATCGTCTATCGTATGAAAATTCATAATAGGGGGGAATAGTTGCCGAATGTATAATGAAATCCCGAAAGACATTATCCAGACACGACCAAATCCCGACCAGACAATCCAGATACGACCAAATCCCGACCATGCGTAATCCAGACAAGAAAGTCTGACAAAATATAAAAAATATCGCGCGATTTTTTAATTATTTTTATATTTTGTCGGGATTTCTTGTCACGATTGTCTTCTGTTTTCACTCAAAAATAATGTATAAAAGACACAGTTGTTATTGTTGTAAGGGCTTACTTAGTCCGTAATTGTCCTCAGGCTCAACTAACGGTAAGCCCAGAAAACTTGATATTTCGATGAGGTAGAACCAGTGCGGTGGGATGTTAGTTGAGTTGGATTGAGTGGGCTTGTGAAGAGGTGGTTGTGTCTAGGGGGGAATTTCCACATTGTGGACACTCATTTTCGATGTTGGGAGGCGAGTTGGGCCAGAGTTACGCGGGTATCTCGTGGCAGTTGCTGCTTACTCGTTCACAGGTGGTGATTGACACTGATGACGGCATTCACTTGACTGGAGTTTATAAATGCTGTTAATAGCCTGTCTGTACAATCCCAGTCACAGGGGTGCTGTGCGTAGTGCTGGACCTGGTCCTTTAGCTCGAGCAAGTTCGAGTGCTGCATTAATTTTGTAATGGTACTTAAAGCAATAATGTTAATGAAAAAAATTCATGCATTAATTTATGAAATTTAATGCAAATGAATATTTCAATGCATTAATTCTGAAAAATATGAAATTTTTTTTCATTAAATTATCCAAGCTAATGCAAATGAAAAAATTTTAATGCACTAAAATGTTTAATACTTTTGCTCGTTTGGATTATTAAAAACCATTAAATTTTTTTTTCTAGTAAAATATACAGTATCGGTCATATCTATAGCACGCCATTTCAAAGTGATATTGTGTGCCACTTATGTTTATTTATTTATTTTTAAGAATTTTCAATTAAAATACAGTTCTTTCTCTAACAAACCCCATATAAACCAAAGTTTAACAACTTGTAGAAAACTTCAAAAAAGTGCAACAAATTTTCACCTAAGTTTCAAACTTTTTTCTCGGAAGTGTTAGAATTTTTTCGAGTACACAGTTTTTTAGCCACTGCAATTTTAGTCTGATAAT